TGCTTTTCGTTTTATTTTCTGCACAAATAAAAGCAGCTCCTCAAGAACAACCTGTGTAAATATAATAGTCTTCGCGAAAAAAAAAACAGAAGAAAGTATACGCGTAAATAAAATTTTCTTTACTTGTTATGGATGACTCATGTGGTCCAAACAACAAGTTTTATTCTTGTGAAGAAATGAGAAGAGAGTCCATAGTGTATAGTTAGGTTCCAAAAATGGGTAAGAATAATGAAAAATTCAATTGATTGACTTCGTAAAAGAAAACGTTGGTAACTTCGAGAAAAAGTTAAACTGTCTGTAAGCAATTCATGTTCTAGAATAAAGCAAGGAAATTTGAGATATTTAACGTATATGGCTTTCAAAAAAATTCACAAGATTAAAAAATTTTTCTTTAATTTCTCTAACTTTAATTCATGACATGAAAACCGGAAGCACACAATATTTTCTTTTCTTTTAGAATCGATTCAAGTTTCATCCAATGCATGTCTGTGCCAGAGATCCGAGAGTCAGTCAAAAAAGCGACTCGTCACCACCTCGCCTAGAGTTTATAACAAAACAGTTATTTTTAGGCATTTTTGCAACCACCCATAACAATCACCATCTTTTTATTTTATACAATTAAATAAAGAACATTTTATACATTAAAATAAGTTCAACAACACAAAAATATAAATGAGAATCAAGTAAATAACAATCATTCATATTATTTACTGCGTATCAACAATGAATTGTGAACTACATCAGTGCAATATTTGAACTACACTGAATAATTGAATATATCTGTATACAGTGTACCAAAAGTCACTTAACAAAAAGAAAACTGCATATCTTCACAGGATTGTGATCAAATGAACTGATTTTTTTCTGATGGTAGAGTATAGGGGAAAGGGACATTTCGCACCAACTTTTCATTACGATCTCCAGTAGCATATGTTCGTTACGATCTCCGGACGTATGAAAAAGGACAGGGTGTTCGGAATGACAAAAATCAATCAAAATTAAAAAAAGAACAGGATGCTCGTAATGAAAGTTGTTCAGAAGATCGTAACGAGCAACGAATATTGATTTTTAGAGAAAAAAAAGTGAAATTTGACCGGAGTTTGGCATGAAAATATTGGAAGATCGTAACAATAAAAACAAGATGTTGGAAACTGTTCATGTTTGCTGTTTTTTAAGATATGTTAAATAATTTACTAGTTTTTATTCTAAGATAGTACCCAAACGACAGATGAGGATGTGAGAGTGAGGGTGAGGATGTGGAGTGTGAGCGTGGGCGAGAATCAGTAAATAGAAGACGTCACCCTCACCTACATCCTCACACCCCCACTCGTCTAGTCAATAATTTTTGAACGTAGAAACTTTTAATTATATAGTACTTCATTTCCACAGAGATTAGTGATAACAATTATCAACATTATTAATAGGTTACAGCACAAAAGTCGCAAACATCTTGTACAGTTATTATAGCGTTATGTATAGAGACAGAGAAAGGTAGATGTTGTTTATATAATTACGAACCTATTGTATCAATCATTCTTGATTTTATAAAAAAAAAAGATAGAAAAGTCTTTATGACCGTTGCGAATATCAGAATAAATCAGTTACGATCTCCTGGTAAATTGAATCATGAACATCCCGTCTTTTTCGTCCAGATACTTAAACATTAATCCGCATATAGTAATGATCATTCCATTCCGAATTCCCAGTAACGCCTTTCTGATCTCCCTGTGTTTTCGATTACGATCTCCTGTTCAAAAAGGATTACGAACTCCCGTCGAATATTTGTTATGGCAAAAAGTCATTTCCGAACACCCGAACACATGTCCGGGGTTCGGAATGACTTGGTGCGAAATGTCCGTTACCCGAGGATAGTTCCAAGTTTTTATTCATCAATAAAAGGTTTAATAGCATCACATAGAATTATTATCATTCATTTAAAAGAGAAAAAGTCAAATTTCTGCCAAAGATACACTATAGATTTTGAGTTTCTGTAATCTCATGCAAATTCCTGTTCTTAGATTTTCAGAAGTGTGTAATACTTTATTTGAATCCTTTAGTTTTCTCTATTCTATCTAACTTCACAGAATCCTCTCAAATCTTTNTCTGTTCAACAAATGATTTTGGAAATCCATGAGTATATACATATATCTTATGGTAAGCTCGACAAGATGCGACACTCTTGATAAATGTATATTTATTGTTTTGAAATTTGATCGCTAGTAAATCAGATTGAGATCGAAACGATAATGAATTGATGTATTTTGACTTCTTATTATCGACGACTGTGTATTTCTGTGTTTTTTCTTTTAGAAACATTTTAATGCTTATTTATTATACGTACTTATTGTGATTAGGAGAACGTTGCATAAATAATATTCATACACTTGAAGGTAGATGTGTATTGCAAAAATCTGCTCTGATCTGTATATAATTTTTTATTTCGACTCCTACTTTCTCATAATAGGCAATCAAAGCTGTTTTCAAACGTTTTCGATTCAACATTGCAATTCATAATATTATTTTTTGTATTAGATCGAGGCAGCAATTTTATCAAAACCTTAAACGATGATAATTTGCCTTAGTAGTGTTGCTCATATCTTTAATAATATGTTCAAACGAACGTTCTCTAATGTCGGCACTCATAAAAATATACTTAAAGAGAAAACAAAGAGACAAGACAGAAGAAGAATCATCAATTCAAATAAATTTCAGTGAATAGTGACAGTAATCTTCTACTAGATTACGATGATTGTGATTCAGACGAGAGCGATAGTAATCAATGTTCTTGAGCACGATCTGGCGGTTCATGCTAATATCACGTGCCGCATTCGATCATACAATGCAAACAATTCTGTTGCTAGGTAAAACTTGTAAATTTTCCACAACAACTGTCTCGTCACATCATGTTATTTTGATATAATCTTCTTGGCCTATATCAATTTAAATCAAACTCTACAGAGAGAGATCAAAACAATAAAGCAACAGCTATTATAAGATGGCTTAGTATATCTCAACTACTTGAAAGTTTCCTTTTATTATATTCGACACTGACAACAATTGTCAATGAAACAACTATTCTTCATATGTTACCATCGGTCGATATTACCACTGTTATTAGTTTTGTGGCATTCTGGGAACCATGAAAAAATGTCATGACATCAGTGCAAACAATGATCCAACCATCCCTTCATTTTGTCGTCATGTCGTATTGACATCTAATCAAAAAAATTAGTTGTTGTCAAAGAAGAGCCAGCCAATAATGCACTGAAAAATACGAGAACAATTTAACCAAGAGCTGATGGCTGAATACTTGACTTTTATATAGTTTTCTGTAGCTATTTTCTTTTTCAAAATACTTGTTTGACAATAGCTGAACACAATGCTCATTTGATCTACTTTGTTACTAAACAAATTGAGGCTTTTAGAACCAAAAAGGTATGTTCACGAAATAAATTCGTCTACGTGCGTTGGCTTATAATTGATAAGAATATGTTGAACAGGGGTGGGTGTGTGGGTGAGTCTCTTATTTGAATAGAGACACACACTCACACCAATCCACCAACTTCTAAGTGATAAGGGCGTCGATTCAGCCCAGTTCTGTTAAATCAAACCAATGTTAATACTGTTCACCATATAATGAGACAGAGTCTCTCATTCAGATTTTTTCGTCTCTCGCAATTCGAGAGGATTTCTATTGATCACGCCTTTTCCTCTTTAGCAAACGTCCTTGATGGATAACTTCTTTCTTCTGTCATTCGTTTGCATATCTTCTTGTTGCTTGGTTGAAAATCTTTTTCCAAGGTAGCAACCAAAATAACATTGTATCAACAGAAAAGAGACGGAGTTGTATAGTAGCAGTGCGAATAGTACCTCAGGGAGCACTTGACGACCACATTTCATTTCTTTTCTTCAAGTTTCACGATACATCACTCGTTCTATTCATTTGATACGAAAAAAATAGGTTAGCCATCATTTGCTTTTCTCCTAATTTTTGTTCTGCTTGGCGACATTACCCATAAGAATAATTTAGCAGCCGATTCCAGAAATAGTAATTTATATGTGGTTTCAACAAAAATCTACTAGAAAGATTTGGGATTATCGATGAACGCTTAGAGGTTTCAGAAAGACGCTGCACAGTCTCTGTGGCGCTATCTAGGTCGCGTTTCTATCGAAATACATTAAAATGATTCATGAGTTAATATTTTGTTGTCGTCAAAATAGTCGAATGTTGGGTGAGTTTCATCAATCAACAAACTGAAATGTATTTCTTGAGACAAAATATACATGTGACGGAGTGACTCTATCAGCAAAATAGCTTCTCGTACAGATTTTTTTTCTTTTAGCGTCCTGTTTGTTCTCTTGTGAATAACGAAGAAACGCAAAAGGCTGTACGAGTATTTTTCTGTCCATGTGTGTATCATCTTGTTTCATGGTTGACATCATCAACGAAACGACACGAAAATAATTATGCATCCACATTTTCTTCAAAAACTTCGCATTTTTGAATGTTTTCGAGTCTGTTGCGATTGCTTGGAAGTAAAAGACGTCGAGCAAGTAAATCAATGACATTCTTGTCGTTTGCTTATATTTTTATTATTGATATCTTATTTCTAATCGGCTAAAATATTCCAAACTGACAAGAAATGGCCTTTCTTAGCGTCAACATTTTCCTCAAGTCCAGTGTTTGGATATTGTTCTTCATTTTATCATGGATTTTAATGATAAAGATCCTTTATCAAAATGATCAATGTTACTATGTTAGCAACAAAAATTCGTCTATCAGGAATAAAAATCTACCAACTAATGAATGGATGATCGATTCGCGTTTAAAACTAAATCATTTGACCATTCTCGGAACACACAACACTTATCATCGATTAATTGNAGTGACAGAAGAAAGAAGTTATCCATCAAGGACGTTTTTTTACAAATATCACCATTCAAATCTCGACATTCAATTAAAAGCTGGTATCAGACAGATTGAATTAGACATTCATTTAATGAAAAATGATTATGTTGTTTATCATATGCAATTAATCGATGATAAGACCAACTGCTATTGTTTTAGTGATTGTTTAGTAAGAATTCACAGATGGAGTCAACAGAATCCAAAACACTATCCGATATTTCTATTTATTGAAATCAAACAAAGATTCCGTGAAGATTTTTTAACAGCACTTTATGGTGGCGTTCGATGCCAACATTTCGAATCAATGAAAGAACAAATTCTCCAAGTCTTTCCTATTGATTCATTCATACTACCAGAATTAATTCGTGGTCAGCAGATATCGATTAATTTAGCTTTGAAGAAACAGAGACAAGATGAATTAAGTGGCAATTATTCATATGGAAATTACGGTTGGCCTCCACTATCCCTGTCTTTAGGGAAAATTTTAGTGAGTTTCATTGATGACGAACACAATATTGTCGTTGATTTAATTTCTACATGTGAATCACTTTCAAATTTTTTCTTTATTGCTCAAACGAATATCAATCTTCCCTATGCATCGATTATCAATATTCGAAATCCATTGGTAAATGAACAATTAATTATTGAAAGTCACACAAACGGTCAAATAAGTCGTGTTTTACTTGGTTATGGTGACCAACAACTGTTTGAGAGATATCAACAAGCTCGCAAATATGGTATTCACATCATTAGTACGGATTTTGTACAATGCGATGATACAGAATTATGTCAAAGCGTGAAAAATGATTTTCAAAGTACTTCACCGATATTGTGTAACACAGTTCTGGTTCCCAGTTTTTGTAATACAACAGTACTATCTCTTTGAAAAAGCATTTGTTCTGTATGATTAAGAAACACCTACATTTTTCTAACCTTTGCTGATGGAAAACTTATTCTTCGAATAATGTTCACTAAATCAATTCGATATTGAAAAATATAGCCTCGCCTAGTCATAATTCATTTGATTATTTTTGTTACTCGAACTTTTTCGATTGTCGATTGTTCAAAAGAAAGTTCGATGGACATATTTTCATGCGAAAATTGTTTGAATAAACGTGGCACTTTCTCTTCATTTTTCGTTAAACAATCTTTGCCGATAAGCATATTGAAATGATCTATGATGGTCATTTCTCGTTTTGTAAGTATTACACGCATTTTATGTTTTCTGTGTTACGTGTAATTTTCTGACTGACTCCTGGTCATACTTGTGTCTCACTGTTTGTTTGTGAGTGATCGCTTGTCATGTATGGACTACTATACAATAGTGTCTCAAAACTTTTTCATAAAAACATCGAGAACGCTACAGCATGGTAATCAACATGTATTGATTCAGCATTACTTCATGTGAGTATTAATTCCGTTCTATTTTTCTTCGCAAGTTGAAAAAAATCAACCGCCGATGAAGAAAATGGCACACGATTCTTCGTTTGCTTGTCGTTTTATCTTCTGTACAAATGAAAGCAGCTCCTGAAGAACAGCCTGTGTAAATATAATAGGCTTTGCGAAAAAAAAACAGACGAAAGTATATACGTGAATAAAATTTTCTTTCCTTGTTATGGATGACTCATGTGGTTCAAACAACAAGTTTTATTCTTGTGAAGAAATGAGAAGAGAGTCCATAGTGTATAGTTAGGTTCCAAAAACCGAAAAACGATAATGAAAAATTCACTTGATTCACTTCGTAAAAGAAAACGTTCGTAACTTCTAGAAAAGGTTAAACTGCCCGTAAGCTATTCGTGTTCTAGAATAAACAAGAAAATTTGAGATATTTAACATATATAGCTTTCAAAAAAATTCACAAGACTAAACAATTTTTCTTTAATTTCTGTAACTTTAACTCATGACATGAAAACAGGAAGTACACGATATTTAATTTTCATTTAGAATCGATTCAAGTTTCATTCCAGGTATGCCTGTGCTACTTAGATTGTACTGATTTCATCATTTGGTTACCTAATTTTGTTTTTTCGAGAATTTGATCAAATCTGTCCGTTAATGTAATGAACATAGATGTATTTTTATTTCCTATTTATTTTCATGCAATATGAAGTGGGAATGTGGGTGTGGGGTGTGGGTGTAGAAAAGAGAAGACACACACCCACACCCATACCTACACCTACATCACATACCAACACCCACATCCAAAATCTACATTCACAGCACATTCCCACACCCTTCTGGAAAACTTGCTGAGCTTTCAGTATCTCGAAGCGTTTGAGACCCTATCAATTCTTTTTCATCTCTAAAGGAGACTATCGTGTAGAGAAATGTTTTCTGTATTGAATGAACTATAATTCAACATATTTTCACGATAAAGAAAGTTTACATACAAGAAAAAATATAAATGTCCGAATAATGTTTTGCGTAGCGAATTACGTGGTTTATGAGCAGAGCTCGAAACGGGGAAGATTTTTTGCTCCTCACCTCGCCCCGCCCGAAAAAAGGCTTGCCCGCCTCGCCTCACCCCGACCTTAATTGTTTTTTTCGCCCCCTCGCCCTGCTTTGTCTCGTGCAAAGTTCTCCCCGCCTCGCCTCATGTAAAGTGTCCCTGCCTCGCCCCGTCCCGAATAAATTAGCCCCCGCCCCGGGGCCTCGCTCGATTCCCCATCCAGTTTCTTTCCCTGAATAGCAACAAAAGAATATAATTCGTTCTCAGTCATCCTTTAATTTTGTCATTCTCTGTTGAACGATGAAATAAAATACACCTAACACTTGTGGGTTGTAAATTAGATCTTTGGTTGATAATTTTATATGCTACCAAAGACTCTCTGTCGACAGCAGCTGAATTCTGTGGCATTATATACATGTGACATGCCAATATGGAGAAATCTGGAAAAATATTTTCCAACTCATCTCAGAATGAGTACGAATTTGGACAGTCTTTGCCTAATTTGAAATCTATATGAATATCGACTTCATCTTTTGTTATTGGTGTAGACTTTCTTTTTGTCAGTTCTTCATCCATTAACTGTTCAAGAAACTCTTTTGCTGACCCCTTTTCAATATCAACTGTTACAGCCCAAGTCACTTTCGACAGACATCCACTGCAAGCACAATAGTATTTTGCTTTTTGAGCTTTTGTTACTGACAGTAGCCGTTTCACTTTTAGATGAACACATGAACGCTAGTTAAGGGTGTAGTAAGGGATATTGCAGGTTTCCAACAGACTGTTTTGTCAATTTAAACTCAACCAAACGATTCTGTGTCAATGTTAAAAGATAGAGAATTTTCTGTCGATTTGAACAAAACATTCTTTTAAATCACCGTTAGATTGTTTTTCGAAACACCAAAGTCACTGAATAATAGAAAAACGCCAACTGCTCATCTACAAAATCATGAAGGTTAAAAATCAAATTTTGCCACATTAGATTGATCTCAAGTTTTAATTTTCTTCACGCAAGGCATCCGAGTTTTTTTAGTGCATTAAATGCTGTGCCTAGTTGAACATTCTATAATTTTATCTCTTATTGAAAAGCTGCAGAATATCTTAAAAACATCCTCGACCCACTAGTTATAGGCATACTTTATATGTCGCTTTCAGGTAGTAAAGTTTTACCCAAAAGCTCTGTTTGATGTCTATAAAATAAATTCACTTCTCTTCTTTTCTTAGTATGTTTTAACAGCGTGTAGACAGCTATTTAACAAATAAAAACGGCTCTTAATTCTAGCGAAATGCTGAGTATTTGATGTTTTCATGGCACGCAGCAATTTCGACGTTACACAGAGATGGAAAATGTTTCTTGAACAAAAGAATGTATAAATAAATTCTGCATAAAATTTTATTTTAGCATCTGAAGTAAACTTTTGGGTTGAGTCTAATTTTCGAAAGCAGTCTATCAATAGACGCTGCTTTTCTCTGTTGCAGTCTTTACCATTCATCTTCCACGACAAAAATAAAATTCAATAAAGACTATTCATATTTACCGGAGAACTTTTATATTTGTACGAAGCGTTGAGTGGATAATCTATTGCACACAGACTATTATCATAAGTCTTGATGCATACATTACTCAAATACATAGTCTGTATATCGATGTTTATGTTGTGGAACTATCACGTGCAAAGTTTCGAAATTTTAACTTAATCCCGTTTCGCCTCGCCTCGTCGTAATTTTTCCCCATTCCGCTTCGCCCCGCCCTAACTTCTTCCCGCCTCGGTTCGAAAACATATTCCCCGTCGTAATCCCTCCACGCCTCGCCCCGAAAAACGTTTCCTCGTTTTAATCCCTCCGCGCCTCGCATCGCCCTGAAAAAAATGGTCCTCGTCCCGAGGCCTCGCCCCAATTCCTCGCCACGTTTCCATCTCTGTTTATGAATGATCCTCAATAATTTTTTCAAAACCTTTCGTAAAGAAGGTTTTTTTTTTGTGTTGAACAAAGTAGAGACTTAGATTTATCGAATGATATAATCAAAGTCTAAAAAGCTTCTTTTTGTTTATTGTGAAATTTCGTTCGCAAGTAACGTTTCACAGAATGTCCGAATAATCATAATACCCACTGTATATATATCTATACATATTTATTTGTATATATGTATGATGAAATAGATCTGAATCTAAATCTATTCCTATCTGTATAATGCGATTGTGTGACTTTTTATTCTCGGTTTACATTCGAAGTTGAATTAGGCGGTTGCTCATGAGAACTTATCCAAAAGACATTTATTTGATTTCTCTTTTTTCCAACAGATTTGGTACAACCGCTACATAATGCAGAAAAATAATTCTAAACGAAATTTTATTATGATGACATTAGTGCAACAGATACAGATTAGCAAAATAATACAGAGAAATATTTTCTATATCGGACTATGTTGAAAGAAAGTTTCTCAAAGGCTTTTATAACAAATTAAAGTATCTCTTTCCCTATTTTTCGTATGATCTCAGTAATTCTGCTGACAATGATACTTAAATATTAGGATTCTTATAATAAAAAAAATAACATGACTGCTACAATTTTCTTTTGTTCCAATAGATTACAGTAACTACAGACAACTACTAAACTATTCTATTATGGACTAATTATCACATTAATTATATTGAATTTCAAAATATTAAAAATTTGAAACTCATTGATGGAAAAAAGATACTTGATTGAATTTTTTCTTCGTTGGCTGCTAATATTTGTAATGGAGATGTCTTATGTTCGTGAGTTTCTTTGTAAAATGTACATAAGTCCCACAAAATATTCTCATATTATAAAAACTATTATAAAAGATTTTTTGCACTTACTAGAAAATCCTTGTCGTAAGTACAAATTGATTTAAAATATCTGTTCTTCTTACCATCGAATTCAACGGTTTTAAGACGGAAGCAAACGCGAGGTGTAATAAGTTCTTCTTCTTTTTTTGGGTATTCCGAGTATGGACTCAGATTCATAATAAAATCGTCCAATACTTCCATAATGAATAATGTATTGCCCCATGCTTTTGCTCTTTTATGATTACGAGTGTAAGATGTATACGCTTGAAATGACTGATATGCATTTTTATCTTTAGCCATTTCTTCATATAGAGCGATTTGTTCGGGTTTCAAATCAGCTCCTTGGTATATTATCTTGTCTTTTTTCACTTCTTTATCAAATGGATTATCCCATAATAATAAACAAAATGGACCTAAAGTAGGGACTTTGCTTCACCACACTTGCTTTTGTTCTTTGTCTCCTACTAATTTCATAGTTGCATTTAATACTTTGTAGAGGAAAATTTTCAGTGTATAAAGATAAGCACATTGTTTCCATACTTCTTCCATTCCTGCGTGCTTTGTTTGTCTAAGCATTGCTGCTAGTCTTTTGGCTTCTCGCTCTTTCCTAACATGTTTTGCTTCTTCAATAATACCTTGTGATGCTTTTTCAACAAGCATCGGTATCAACGCTGCGGTTTTCGAAGGTAACCCATCTGGTTGAAGGTTCATGTATTTTTTGATCTTAATTAAAAATGGAGACACCGAACCATAATGACCACCAAATGAAGATCCTGAACTAGCAGGAAGGTCCATAAAA